CAGCTTGTCACAGTTGCTTCCATTTGCGCAGTTCCATCCACGAAGAAAACTGTTTCCTGATACCATCGGGAACGTTGAATCAAAGTAGCAATCTTCTTCTCGATGGCCGGGGGTACTGGACTTGTACATGACTGTGAAGCAGATTGGCGTTTGAGGAATCCGGACCGTTGCGTCAAAACCACTTTGTTAATCATCTTTTGCGGTTCAACGGAGCGAATGTGGTTTCGCAAAGAGGCGCTCATCTGACTTTCCGCCCCTTGGGAGATGACGATTTTGTCCTCCAACCGCGAGTAAGCGTTGTAAAGCTCGGACGGTTCGAATTTGCCCAGATATTGCTTCTGCACCTCTGTGTACTCAGCCACGATGGCATCCACTGCCGGTCTGGATGGTGCATGCATGCCCGCTCGTATAGAGACAACCCAATTGCCTTCGTAGCCCCAAGCTTAACTCCCATGTTTTTGCGTACGTGCAGGGGGTCCAAGAACATCTTCGCCTCATTGAAAACTTCTTTATACGCCTTGTCGATGCTCTTCTTTTGGTCAACGATGGTGGTGCGTTCTGCGACGTCGAACCCGGTTATCTCCTTGCATGCTTCAAAGACAGTTCTCCAGTACTCGTAACTCTCAGCTCTGAAGAAGTCGGCAAACACCATTGGCAGGAGGTGCATGTTCGTGTCGTACGTTACAACCTCGAATGTAGTCCCGTACGATTGCGGTCCCACCCCGTCACAGTGAGCGGCATCTGCTGCTTGGGTCTTACGCCCAAGAGCACAATAACGAGCAGCAACGCTTGGCACGAATAAGAGCCCACCGTAGTAGCGACCGTCTTCTGCAATATCCGACATGTCAATCACCTCTTCGTTGAATTTGGCGTCCCCTGGGATGCTTTTCGCCTTCTTGCACTGTTGGAAGATGTGCCTGGCAGACCGGATTCTCTGTTGCTTCATCTCCGAACCGTCGACAATGAAGATACGAACAGTGTGCCCACAGTTGCGCAGCAATTCAACATGCCCCTCCATGCTTGCCACATCGACAGCCCGAGATGCGTCCATATGTGGCAAGAGCTCGACGCGTACGGAGCGATAGTGGATATCCGGCGGTTGGCGCTTGTAAATTTGCTTTGCCCTTACCAGCGCAGCGATAGTTTTCGGCGAGATGTTTGGATTGCTCGTAGCCTCGCTGTAAATGACACGAGCAACCTGCAAGGGAGTATATGCCGGCATGCAGTGTCCTCGCCTCCTACTCCCTTGCTGTTCCTCTTCCCCGCTCACATGTTGCCGGCTGCATTCGTTGGAGTGCTCCGTAAACCTGTTTAGTTTCCAAAAAACTGAGCGAGGCTGCCAATGGAACACAATTGAAGCATGGCATGTCGTGTTGCGGCATTTCATTCTCACTCTTTCCCATGTTTAGGAGATGTTTACCCCCATCTGAACCCCGACATAAGCCGTGTATGCTCGAATCAATTTGTCACATTGCCAGCGAAACTCCAGTTGCATGCCAACCTCCGGGATAATCCCGACACATCGGCGCGGCCTCAATGTACGCGCTCCCACTTTCTCGGCCTTGAGGGCATGCCTCGCACGTTGCATCGTGCGGTATTTAGAGGCACGCTTCTGTTCAGAACTCATTCGTAATCAGTCCTGCGAGCCTGGCAATAACAGCATCGTCAGCATCTCCAATGACGTAATTTGCAGGGGCATAATACGCATCTTTTTCCCTTTCTTCGCTGCCACTCTCACTCTCAGGGCCATCCTCGTATTCATCTGCGTACGCAGTAGACTACCAATCACCGCAACCTCCCCCAGTCTCGTCATACGTTTGAGGAGGCTCCGGAGCATCCTTCTCGCAAGGCTGAGGAGCAGCATCACTATCCACGCTCCGACGCGCTGGCTTTACAACAGGCGAAATACCATCGCTTGAAACCGCACCGCTTCCTTCCTCCCCTTCTCCCCGGCTTGTCCGTTCCTGCTCCGATCCCTCACGCTCCTCACGCGCATGTTCAGTACGCCCTTGCTCTGCGCCTTCATGCCATTTGCCCTCACTCCCTTCGCGACGGATCTCCTCGCGCTCGTGATCTGCCCTTTGACGCTCTCCATCCTCGCGCTCTGCCATCTCCGAGCGGTAGCCTCTTGCCGCTCCACCTTCTCTTTCTGCTGTTGAGCAGCTGCGCGAGCATGCTCGTTTGTGGAGTTTGGCGTAAGATTGCGCGCTGTAGTTGGAGCTTCTTGGCGCTTACGGATATCTTCGGCACGTCTCTCGAAGACCCGCAGCTCCTGCTCCCACATTGTTTCAGAGAGCGAAAACTTAAGACGATCCCCCAAGACGAAATCTCTCTCATGATAGATGTCTTTCTCGTTAACAGCAACGACAACGAGGTTTTTTACCATTTCCATTGCCCTACTCAATGTACGCATGTTTCGAGTCGCCCCCCGGGGATGTTCGCGGCAGACGTCCGGGTGAAGCAAGGCAGCGAGACGGCGGAAGGCTTGTCGAACAGCTGATATCGGGGCAGTCGCTCCCGTGATGCAAAACCGCTGTAGGAGGGTCGTAGCATTTTCCTCCACAACATTGAAGTGACGGAGGGCCTGCACAGTCGTTTTCGGTAGGTGTGGGACTGCTGGGGCGACATGGTTGTCTGGTTTGAGCAGCGGGCTTACGGTGACGTGGGAGGAATGCAGAGCAGAACACAGGGTGAATCAGGCAGAGGTAAAGAGATTAGCGAGACCAGGAGCAGGTCGTTCGCGGATAGGGTGACGACGTGGGATTACAGGGTGATTCGTTATGTCCCTCACGGTTTAAGGGGTGATTCTGCTGACTAAAATGCGACATTTCCGTTGTGATTGGAAACGATGGTGACATATGAAAATCACCTACGGAGCCGTCCATCCCCTTCCTGTTCACCCTCCATGCCATCCACCTTTTCCCCTGTCACGCCCCCGATTGTCTAATTCTGCAAGCTGTCACCCCCCTAATCACAGAATCTCCCAATAATAATAAGCACGCATCCGTGCCAACCTCATTGACACTGCTATAGCTTCGTTGATTGGACAGCGTCGTGTCGCATTACAGAGCACCTCCGTCGGTCCACCTACGTCCATTGGTGCAACGTGTACACGTATGAATATCGCCAATTAACACCTGCAACGTCAGAGAAGCGCCTTCGACCCGAAAAGGAGCAACTCCGTCACCGGAGTCTTGCCACCGTCAACCTCTTTCCGTGGCATCCGTTGCCTCAATCCGTTGCGTCAACTCGTTGCGTCAACCCGTTGCGTCAACCCGTTGCGTCAACACAGCACACATCATCTCCAGTAACACACTACGTATACTCACAGCCCGCCGATGCCACAGAAACGCCTTCCCGCTCGCCAAACGCAACCTGTCCCACGCCGCCCAACCACGTGCGCACCCCCGTCACGCCCTGTCCGCGTCCCCGTCAGCATGAAAGCCCTCTCCTTCACGACCTTCCTCCCGCGGGCCGCGCGTCCATTCCACGCGAGCGGCGCCCGTGCCGCGCCTCGC